AGCCGATAGAGTGATACAGTGTTGTATTTTAACCCTTATTTTTAAGAATTTTTTTTTTGTATTTCAGGTAATATGGTTACAATCGTGTTATTGTTTAGAGTATTAATGTACAAAGTTACTGCACACCACTAATACCTAAAAGTCTGTGACTCTCCAATAGCCTTACTCACCTCCAGTCTGATCTTCATTTTGTCACACTCCTTCCACTGTTTGTTAATGAGTTTTGTGGTCCAAAACTTTATTTGGGATTTGCCATTGTTTGATACTCTATATTACTTTGTTTTGTCTCCCTGTATTGCAGAGATGAGTGAGATCATCCGATATGTTCCTTTTCTCTCTCTAACAATTTATTTATGGCACTTTCTATTCATGTTGCTGTGAGCTGTATGATTTCATCTATAGCTGCTTTAAAGTCCATTATTCATAGATATATCACAAATTATTTATTCCTTTATCTTTTCTAATATGGAGGTGATTTTTTATTCTCTCTCATTCTGAATCATTTTGAATAATGTTAAAATTGATGTAAGGAGTTTAAGGCTTAAGGTGAAAGAGTCAGCACCGTTGAGTAATCCATATCTTCAAGAGCATAAAGCTCTACTATCATGGCCCCAAAGCAAATCATAATACAAGGTACGCATGTGCTTGTATTTCTTAGTCCCCAGATGGACATCAGTTTCATTATGGATAACTCAAAGATATGTGACTGATTTATGATACTCATACTATCTATAATAACTCATGTAGTATTCATAATGTATTTCAACTCACATCATACAAAATATCAGAAGTTCTGATAGGTGTTATACTGCTTTTCTTTACTGTTTATACTGTAGCACTGGAGCACTGTCTTCCTGTTGTTCATCGATTTGCTCAAGTGGACACCAGTAATGTCTCCATTGTGAGACTTGTTACTGTTTTTTGGCGTATCAAATAGGCCACAGGGAGCTTGCCAGGCTCTGCTGTGCTGGCGGGATACTCTCAGTAGCTTGCCAACCTCTCCGAGAGGGGCGGAAGAATCAAACCCAGGTCGGCTGCATGCAAGGCATACGTCTTACTCACTGTGCTATCACTCCAGCCTGACTGTTTATACTATGATCTATATCAATAATCTCTATAGTCCCCGCGTTGATGTTAAATTTGGAAAGACAAGCTTTTGGATCTTGTGAAATGTAATCCTTTTAGCTCTCCTGAGAGGAAAGATGCTTGTTCCTTTGACACAAATATTTTAACTAGGTTAATCTTTACTGCCTTTAGGTTTTGCTCAATTAGAATCTGTAGTATTCACCTATACAGAGGCTGCCCAACAATACCTAAAAATAAATCTAACCTAGTAAGGTAAAATAATAAGAAAATAAGATATCCCTTGTTCAAAGCTGGAACAAAAGAAACTTATTTACATCTGAGACTCATTTTCTTTTCACTGAATCAGAATGAAATGCCTGCAATTTAATTTAGCTTTTCAGTGATCTCAAATAAAACAAAGCTTCTAGGATCTCTTACCCAGAACCATTTATAGTTTCTTCAACTTACTCTGCATCTAGAATCATTCCCTAGTGGCATAGGTAGACTGGAGAAGAAAGGGAAGAATCAAGAGTGGACTGAAGACTAAACAATCTTGTGATGAGGCTGAAATAACATTCTCTAGATTACTACATAAATGTCTAAGAGATGGGAATAACTTATATTTCATATCAGCTAATATATTTTCAGGACTCATCTGAGTCAGGACAACGGATATATATATGTAGTTCTATTCAAGGTGCTTTCTCTTAGACACCTGTCCCACTGATGTTGATGACATCATTCTATTTTCCCACTTATTTTCCCTTTTGGTACTATCTGGTACTTCTTCATCATGTGATCTTAAGTGTTGAAGTGTTTCAGGGCTCTGTGTCTGTACTTCTTTAGAAATATTCCCTCCTTAGATTATCTTTTAATTAATATCATTAAACCACAGCATTCCCAGATTCTACCACTGAATGGGCTTTTTGAACTTCAGCTCATATTTAATCATCTACCTAACATCTACTTTCAAATTTGAATTCAGGTTTTCTTCATACTAAGTCTATTTATCTCAGACTATTCCCCATCAGGTAAATGATAGCACAGAGGGAATCAAGTAAACTTTTGACATCAGACTTGATGTAGTTCTGAGTTTTAGATTTCACATCAGCAAAATTATTGTTGCACTACTTTTGAAATTTATTATGAATCTGGTCAGATTTTCCTTTTCTCTGTCACCGGTTAAATTCAAGTTATCATCCTCTGGGTCTTTTATTTTATTTCTCTAATATAAGAGTCTACTCTGGCTTTCATTTAGCTATACTTTACACATGGGTAGAAAGATGCTTAGAAATGCCAATATGCTTTCTCTGTGAGTTTCACCAATGATTTCCTGTCACATTCAGTACCATGCTAAAACCCTACCATGGTCTAAAGGTCTTACAATATCTGACTCCTGATTGACTAGTTTCTTACTCTTTATCTTATACTGCTCTGCTGGTCAGTACTCTTGAAGGACATGACATCAGAGCAGTGCCTCTTTCAGTATCAGCTCATCAAAAAAGACTGTACTGGTTCTGTTTTGCTCAGAGTAGGGCCCCTATTTATTGTTTACATCCTCCAATAGGATATAGCATCTGATTTGTCTTCCTTTGTATACCTGAAATCTAAATTATCTTACACAGAGTAATCACTTAGTAAATATTTGAGGGATTAAAAAAATCATTAATGTCCTAGTGACTTAATTACTTTTAATCAGAATCTTTTGTTAGGCTAGCAAAGGGAGTATACTTATAGACATGTTCACTATAGTTCCCAGCCATTTACTGAATTCAATTTTTGTCTGCTAAACTGTACTAAAAGAGAAAAAGCATCCACAGTATTATGAAACTATGGCATGGATTAATGAAGTCTAGGTTTAGCTTACCTTTAGTCTTAGACATGTCAGAATAGCATAAAGCTTCAGGACTCACTTTAGATTCTGCTTAGTAGGGGCTTAATTCTCTTTTCCATGGATTTTGCCTCCAGTTAGGTCCTTTATTTGGGAGCTGGATTTAGCCAGTAGTACAGATTAGATATTTCAAGACTTAGGCATGTTTTCTAGCATTATTCTGCCAGAATTTATTCCTTTGCAATGCACATACACCCCCTCACACGCACATCCACATAACATGCATGCTTCCAAATTTTAAAAAAAACCACTTATATTAATGAAATATTGAAAAGACAGTTTTAGAAAATAAAAATATAATTTCATCCTAATAAATGATCAATGTATTAGTGTTAACAGTTTGCTATATTTATTACAAAAAATTTAAAAAATTTGGGCCTCAACCAGCTGTGCTGAGGTCTTACTCCTGGCTCAGAGATCAGGGATCTTTCCTGACAAGACTCAGGGCGCTATATCTGGTGCTGGGCATAAAACCCAGGTTGACAGGGTGAAAGGCAATTGACCTGCTGTACTGTCACCCAAATCCTTTGACACATTTGTTATCAACTAGTTGTGATTATGTATGTGTATAAGTTTACATGATTAACATAAGCCAACCTTATTTGTTGAGCATTCTGTTGAGAGGAGCCCTTTTGTTCCTGACTGAAATAATCCTAATGAATAAAGTGAGGGGATTGAGTTTTTGTTCTTATTATATAATGAGCTACACCTCAAAAGGCTTTCCTTTCACATGAAATTAGGTTTTACATGTCTCATTTGATCAGAACTCTGTACTTGAATGTACCTTTGTCCTTTCTGTCACACCTGTCTAGTGTCTTATCTCCCCTGAGAGGAAATGCCCACAGCAGCCTGCTCAGATACATCTAAGCAAAACTGAGAACAGAATTCAGTGAGTAAGGAGAGGATCATAATAGATAATATTATTCTTGATTTACAGAAAAACTCAGTAGCACTGTGGTTGGTGATAAACCTGTGGATATGGAGAAGACTTCTTTGTTAAGACTTGACAGAATTCTGAATCCAGAGACCAGGTCATATTTCCTTAATAGAACCATGTTCTAGATTCAAAGATGGTCCTAAATAAGAAAACATTAAATTTCAGACAGAAACAATGCTGATAGTCATTAGAGTGTATGATGGAAATGTTGAAATAATTGTAAGGCTTGGCTAGTAACATCTACACAATGAATCTTTCTTCCTGTGTTTGCTTAAGGAATTATATGATCATTTAAAAAAAAAACCCTAGAAAGTATAGACAAGTTGTTGTTCAGGTAAACTCTCTTTTCGTGTTGACTTGTGGAACGGGTGGCATCTAACATGAGGGATTAGGAGAAGCAATACGGAATTGGAGGAAGTATAAACAAGACAGAGTCTCCTACCCTATGCCTGACTGTCTCCACCAGGGCCCAACAGCTGAAGACCACCGAGGCCCAGCCAAGGCCATGCTGGGAGCACTCTCCACACACTTGGATGAGCCTCACGCATAAAAGAACTGACAGAGGAACCCAGGTGTGTGGGACCGGGGCTGAGATCTCCAAGCCTGTACAGTTTGGGACTGGACCTGCCAGTAACTAGACAGTTACACCCACCAACTGCCGTGTAACTCCAACAACGGCCAGGATCCAGAGATTATCACACTCAGCTCCCGGAAGCGCGCGGCCGCATTCGCGGCCTCGCGACATCTTATCATCTCATTCCTAATTCGGTCAAACTGGCAGGCTACCAAATGTAACATGCCCACACGGCAGAGTCTGGCAAACTCCCCGTGGTATACCCAATATGCCAAATACCAGTAACAATGATGGGTCTCATTCTCCTAGCCCTGAAAAAGCCTTGAATATGGCACTTAAAAAAAAAAATCTCAGGGCTAGGACGAAGAAGACGTTACTGGCACCTGCTCGAGGCAATCGACGAACAACAGGGTGGTCGTGATCGTGATCGTGATAAACAAGACAAATAGAAAAGAAACACCATTGCTATATAAACTGTTTTAAAAGTATCACCTAGAGTGATTCAAGAAACTACCATAGGGTAGTCTGAGTGGAGTGAGCGAGCCTAGCGGTTGTGTGGTTCTGGTCCCGGACAACCGTAACGCCTGCAGCATGGCTGACCAACTGACTGAAGAGCAGATTGCAGAATTCAAAGAAGCCTTTTCACTATTTGATAAGGATGGTGATGGAACTATAACAACAGAGGAATTGGGAATAGTAATGAGGTCTCTTGGGCAGAACCCCACAGAAGCAGAGTTACAAGACATGATTAATGAAGTAGATGCATATGGTAATGGCACAGTTGACTTCCTGGAATTTCTGACAATGATGGCAAGAAAAATGAAAGATACAGACAGTGAAGAAGAAATTAGAGAAGCATTATGTCTGTTTGATAAGGATGGAAATTAAGTATATCTTAAGATATACTTACTAGAAACTTACAATAGTCACTTAAAAAATCCTTAAATATTAAATTGGTGTTAAGTCAAAAATAGAAAATGTGAGGAAGAATTTAAATTTGGTTTATTTTCTGTAATCCTAAAATAATTCATTGAAGTTTTGCTGAGAGGCAATGACTGTAATTTGAAGATACTCTGAGAAATGAAAGTCTTTGTCTCAAAGGACAGCACTGACCTCTTGGGGTACCTTCAAGGTGTCCCACTTTTCTAGTATATAAGCTACTAATGCACAGCACTCAGCATGTGACTTATTGCTTATCAGGAAAGTTCTGATCATCACTGTGAATTGGTGTTTTCCAGATGTTTGAGTCATTATCAGTAGTGTCAGCACAGCAAGCATGCCTTCCATGGGGGCATTGATACCTTCAAACTGGAGTTGGCAGTTTCTGTCCTGATAAATAGCTTTAAATAGAAGTGATCCAGGAACCCGGAGGTGGTAAAGGAGGCCAACTCCGATTTTTTTTTCTTTTTTTCATTATTCAAGTTGTCTGTAAGGTATAGGGGATAACTAAGCTGAGATGAAGGAATTGGGTAAGAGTCAGGTAATAGGACTGTTTGCCTTTTTGGCATCACTTAATCACTTAACTTCCCATTAGTCATCGATTTGCTCGAGCGGGTGCCAGTAACGTCTCCATTTGTCCCTGTCGCGTGCTAGTGTAGCCCAATGGCATCTCTTCGCTCCGGGAACATGAAGGGCCTCAAATCGATCGTTCATGATCTTGACGAAGAAGTCTGACCATCTGGTAGGTGGGCGGCACGCGGTCTTTTGACATCCCGTGGAATCCAGTCAGTAACAGCTCTAGTCCAACGATTGTCTTTAAATCTCATTACGTGACCAGCCCATCTGATTTTCGACACCTTGGCAAATGAGACAGCGTCCCTGATCCTTGATCATCGACGGATGTTGGAACTCCGGATTCTTTCTCTCATTTGAGTGAAACGTGATATTTCAAGCATAGCTCTTTCTATTCTTCTTTGGGAGACCTGAATAGCATTCTCATCTTGTTTGCGTAGGGCCCAGGTCTCTGAGGCATATGTTAATGCAGGAAGAACGGTGGAATCAAAGAGATGTGCCTGGAGCCGGAGGTTCTTTGTCCTCTTAGCTATTTCTTCAACGTTCTTGAAGGCGTTCCAAGCTGCTCTCTTCCTCCTGCGCAGCTCGGGTGCCAGTTCATTTGTCATGTTGACCTCTCGACCTAGGTACACATAGCTGTTGCATTCGGAGATGGTCGTTCCATTGAGAGCGAATGGGGCGTCAGGAACAAGGCTGTTTCTCATAAACATTGTCTTCGTAAGATTCAGCTGTAGTCCTACCTTTCCACACTCACGGTCAAAGTCGGCCAGCATTTGTGCCTCTTGGCTGATGTTTGGTGTTATTAAAACAATGTCATCAGCAAAGCGGAGGTGGTGTAGTTGCCGACCATCTATCTTCACTCCTATTCCTTCCCATTCCAGTCGTTGCATGATGTTCTCGAGGGTGGCACTGAAGAGTTTCAGTGAAATGGTATCACCCTGCCGCACCCCTCTCTTGACATCAACGATCACTTCTTTGTAGAATGGTGAGATCCTGGTAGTGAATCTGCAATACAGCTCACGGAGGATCCTGATGTATTGGGCTTGAATGCCCTGATTGGCTAGGGCTTCAATGACCGCTTCCGTCTCAACAGAATCAAAGGCCTTCTTTAAATCAATGAACATTAAACAGAGCGGCATCTTGAACTCCCGAGAAACCTCAATGAGCTTGGTTATCGTGTGGATATGGTCGATGGTGCTGAATCCTTTGCGGAACCCTGCTTGCTCGCATGGTTGTCCTTCATCTAGTGTTCTGCCAATCCTATTTAGGATGACTCGAGTGAACAACTTGTAGATGACAGACAATAGGCAGATCGGGCGATAGTTGCCAATGTCATGGATGTCTCCCTTCTTGAACAGTAGTACGGTCCTGCTGGTTTTCCATTGGGATGGAACCTTGCATTCAGACAGGTAGCGAGTGAAGAGCCGAGCCAGTGTATTGATGAGTACTGACGGCAGGTTCTTCAGGTGTTCAGGTCTGACCTTGTCTGGGCCGGGTGCTGTTTGTTTCTTTACCGACAAAATGGCGTGTCGGATTTCGGAAGGGAGAACATTGGGAACAACATATCCATCCTGTGGAATTTGGTATGTCGGCAAGTGGACATGGCTATCGAAGAGATTTGAGTAGAAGTCATGGATAATCTTCTCCATTGCCATTCTGGAGGATGTGATGGATACATCAGGACGTCGGAGGGCAGTCATCTTGGTCTTATAGTTGGCGAAGGACAGGCGGGCGTTACGAATACTTTTCCCGGCTTCTGCTGCATCTACCAGCACTTCTGCTCTTCTCTCTTTGAGGTCTTCCTTGATCGCATCTCTGCACTGCTTTGCGAGCTCGGACGTTAGCTTGCGGTTGCCTGAAGCATGTGCCAAACCACGCTGGCGAATTAGCTCAAGAGTTTTCGAAGATAGGCGATTTTTTGTGGCTATCTCTCTCTTGGCGTTCCTCGCACATTCATGGAGGTGCTGAACCAGTCGATCGTATTCCTCGTCAATGTTGTCAACAATGGCATCTTCCCATGTTGCCGCAATAGTACCAAAGAGTTCCCAGTTGGTGATCATTCTGGGAGTTCTCTTTTTGAACTTTGCAGCCCTTTCTCCCCGCTCTGTGAAGTAGAATTTTGCATGAAGGAGACGGTGGTCCGATCCCGTTCGAAATTTTGGGACAACAGCGACATCAGTCAGGCAAAACCGTCGATTGAATATGATGTGGTCTCTTTCGTTGTGGAATCGTCCACCGGGAGACTCCCATGTCCATCGTTTAGATTCCGCCTTCTGGAACTGTGAGTTACCATGAATGGTCTTGGTCTTGGTCGACATGATGAACTCAGACAGTCTCTCACCCTGTTCGTTCCATTCTAGGTCATGGGTCCCAATGTGAAGTTCTTCAGCTGATCTTCTCGGTTGTATCTTGGCATTAAAATCACCCACAATGATCTTGTAGAAAGTGTGGTCTTCTTTTTGGCATAATTTCCAAATAAAACTGAACTCTTTTATGTCAGCATAGGATATTTACTTTGTAAAGTAGTTTTGTCACAGAAATGAAGGATGCAGAGCTGCTGACCCTCTGTTATTTGATAAAAAATAAGAATTCAAGGACAAGACAGTTTAGGGATAAGGGGGATACGGGCTTATATAGAGTGAGAAAGTAAGGGGAAGAATATGCATAAGGGATTGGGCGTAAGTACCATCATTGGGATGGTGCTAAAGTTGCCTGTGTATATAAGGACTACATGCTTGTCCACATATCACCTATATCTAATTGTGCATCTGGGGTGTGCATATTAATATGTAGTTTGGATTTAAAGAGGAGAAAAGTGAAATAAGATCAGGAATCTATTCTTTGAGAATACTCCGCAAACTGTCTGAAAAGGGTTTCCCAAAAACCCTTAACACTGGTATTGACCCTGCCCAGATTTTTGACTAAAAAAAGAGAAAGGTTTATACATGGTGCTACAAACAATCCATATATTCTCCACCCAGGATTATTCTGACAATAACTGAATTCCCACACTCTGCTGACATAGCAACTGCAAAAACAGAATACCTACAGAACCTGACATAGGTCAAAAAATATCAAATCAAATCAAGCCACAATGCTATTTTCTAGAAAAATAGAATTAGTTCTGCCCTCTTAGTTTCTTATTCAGATAGTAAATGACAACAGCAACAGGGGAATTTAAATTTAATTTAAACTTAGCAAAATGGCCGAACAGAAAATTAGAAGACATAGCAACTTGAAACTTCAATAAAATATGGCATCACAAGGATAACAAAAAAGTGAGATAACTCAAAAAGGTAGAGGCAGATTAGAAAGGCAAATAAAATCAATACATGAGATCTTGAGAGTTGATTTAAAAAATACAGCAAAACTCAGAGAAACTAATAAATTTAGAAATATTTAATAACTGAATGGAAAGTAGAAATTGAAGGTATTTTTGTTTGTTTTGAGGTTACTGGCAGTGCTTGAGGACTGCTTGTATTGTGGACCTGTGGCACCGGGGCTCAAACCTAGGCCTCCTATAGGGTCGGCTGCATGCAAGGCAAATGCCCTACCCGCAGTGCTATTGCTCCAGCCCCACTCATTGTGATTCTGACTTGCATTTCCCTTGCCATGTTGCATACCTTTTAATATACCTGTTAGACATTTAGATATGTAACCTATAAAAATTTCTATCTCAATAATGTTCTGCTCTAATGGTCTGGGATATTTCCAGTGGTTCTTGGATTCCTGGGGGGTCATTTACAGTGATAATACTAATAGCAGTGTGGACTTGACAGTTTTGTGCTCAGTACTCTGGTGTTGAGGCCAACTAGGTTCACCTCTGCAGGGCTGGAGGGTCACCAGTGTCACATTCAATGGTGTTAGGTGGACATCCAATGCCAGGTACTGAATGTGGGGCCTGGCGTATGCCTATGAACTCTTGCCTTCAGCCCTCTTCTCTGCCCATTTTGTTTGTTTGTTTTGGGGCTGCAACCGGCAATGGTCAGAAGTTACTTCTGGCTCTGCACTCAAGAATCCCTTCGGGCAGTGCTCAGGGTTTCATATGGAATGCCAGGTGTTTGAACCCAGTCAGTCACATACAAGACAAGCACCTTAGCTACTATACTGTCTCTCTGTGATCAAACTCAGGTCAGCAACACACAAGGCAAGGCAAGCACCTTACCTGCTGACTAACTCTCTGATCCCAACTTTGGGTGTGGGTTTTTTTTTTTTTGTGCCACACACATAGGTTCTTAGTGGTTACTTCTGGCTCTCCACTCAGGAATCATTCCTGGTGAGTTTGGAGAACCATTTTAAATTGAATTATTTGTTTGATTTTTTTTGTTATTACTCTTAACTTGCATGAGATCCTTACATATATTTTAGATGTAAGT